TAGCTGCAAAAAACGCATTATATGCGAAATAGAAAGGAAAGAAAGGGTCTTGGAGGTTAATCCAAAAAGTAGTCATTCAAAGAAGGTTGTGGTAGATGTGCGATGGTAATTTGTGACCGTAAATAGGCCGAAGAATTACAAATAATATAGAGGACTGTAAAAACCGAAGGAAGTTAAGCACAGCTGAAGAATTCCATATAGTTCAAGGCCGAAAGAATAGAATTTGATAAAGAATGGTGGCGGGTAAGATAGTTGGGTTGTTAATGTGGAACAAACCAGTTGACAGGTAAAGTGGTCATGTTTGGGGTATATATAGGGTGGCTTGTCTGTGTTTCATCCCTTAGCTGTAAACGCAGACAGTGCAAGATGTGGTTAGGAGTGGGAATCATCAGTACAGCCGCCTAACCGCCATATGAAAAAGTAAATATCATGGTTTGCAAACCCTAACGCTAATGATCCAGTGACACATGCTGTCAATGTAAGTGTGCACGGATTGTCTTAAAAACAATATGCCGCTCCGCAAAAGCTATGAAAAGTGGAACTTTTTTGAAACTTATTCCACTCACCTTGTTACTTGTTGGATCACAAAGGCTTCAGTAAGGAGACCATTTTTGTTGCGCAAGTGCAAGAAGCGTATTTTTTCAGAATATGGAATCGATCGTTTGGCCCAACAAATGCCTTTGAAGAAATGATTGAATTAACGGAGGAGGGAAAAATGTGGCCTTATCCTATCGATAACGAATATCAAATCGGTGACGAAGAAGATGTAATTTCTGTGTCCTTGAAACTTTCAGAAAAAACTATTCTACGCTATTTTTAAGTGAATTTAGTTTATATCTGCAGAATAAGCGATGTTTGGCTTCTCTTGAAATCCCCTCTAAAGAAAACGATCGATTGTTTTGTGAAGTTTGTAGCTAAACAAAAATGAGGGGAACTGGATACGTTATACTCGCTACGTTTTGTGACAAGTCCCTCTTCTATCCAGTGGAATCGTGATTTCTCACAAAACTAACAAATATGATAGTTTCCTTGCTTGTTTTCTCTATATTACCAAATTCAGCGTTACATTTGAAAGTTAGTAGTAGTTAAAGAAAAAGTAATTTTTTTTTTGAATGTTTTGCCCTTTTTTTATGTTTTGGCTTTTTTGAATGCTATTTGTTTTCCTGTGACTTGTTTTTTTCATCGTGCTATATCGCGTTGAAAACATGAAATTTTGTATTTTTTTAGGTGCCTTTCTACGAACACATATTTCTGGACAAATATTTGGCGCAGTATAATTTGCCTGATGAAGGACCAGTGGCACAATTCATGGAGCTGGTCTGTATTGGATTATCCAAAAACCCCTATATGTCGATCAAGAAAAAACACGCGCATCTGGATTGGTCAGTATTTTCTGTTTAAGCGTTCAAATCGTTATTGTTCATAGAATTCGGCGTTTTGAATAACTCGTAATTTTCCATTTTGGACCTTCTTGCACCGACTCAGCAAACAGTCTTTTCATCGCGTTTAAGCGCAAATTTGTCTACGTAATAAGATAAATAAAGTAAAATAAAATATTTTAATATTAAAAGAAGAATTAATAAAATGTTGAAAAATATTTGTAATAGATAAGAAATGTTTTGGTCCATTGAGAGTCGTATACATTTCTTACCATTACCACAATTGGACCTCGTCAGTACGACGATTGTGTTTTGTTAGAATGGGATAGGTAAGGTAGCAATATAAGTTAAATGAGTAATAGAGAGAGTGAGTGAAGTTGATATATAAAAAAACTTCGAAAAAGTTCAGAACGAATTGCCTTTTCAGCACTGAGTAAAATGAATTGTTCACTAGATGAAACATCTCGTCTTCATTGCACTACTGTCATGAACCTTTGCATTGGCTTTGCATTGTTTTTGAATTAAAAGTCAGTTTTGAGGTACATTTTACAGGTTTGCGAATTATTTCAAAGAAAAGGCCGAAGAGATCAAGCAAATCCAGGAAGATGCTGGCTTATCAATAGAAGGCTTAATTTAAAATTTACGCCGTTATTTTATTTCTGTTTTGCCGAAGCTGATAGCAAAATGCACCTTTTTTGTGATCGTCATAGGTACAAGTAATGACTGTTCTGCTCGAATTTTGCGGAACTGAGCGTAGAAGGCTTAATTGATTTTCTTCTTTCTAATGAACAAGTCCAAAAGTACCCACCTTCTCGCTCACCAAGCTTTTTTTTTGGAGATTTCCAAGTTCAAACTTTGAAAACAGTTACTCAAATTTAGCAAAAATTTTTTCGTGGATACGTATTTTACAAAATTTTAACCATTTTTAGCACAGATTATCTTTTTTCTTACAAAAAATTGGGTTAAGTCGGGATGGAGGGTGGCAATAATAGATGGCTGATCACTTGTAACAGAAATGTAGAGTAATATGAAAAAATTGAAATCAAAAATTATTTAATGCTAATGTTTAATGCGTTGAAGAAATTACGTATTGTAATTTAATTAAAAATTACGATACCTCGCTTTAAAGGTTGACCATTCGACCTGGCCACTAGGACTGTCGCGTAAAAGCGAGTTGAATCCGGAAGAGGGGGAGAACATATTATAGGCAAGAAAAAACTGAAATTACAACGGTGGAACGCTGGGTTTTCACGTCTAATTTCAGTTTTTATTTTGTGATTGCTTTATTCGATTTAATAATCCGAATTTGAGGTATAAATTGGTTGGAAATCGATTAAAATTGGATAAAGTTGGTACTAAACACGTGGGAGCGAGTTGGGAGCAAATATTTTTTCTTGTATGTAAGAAAAAAGGCGAGAAGCCAAATTTTCCGACAAGGACAACTAGTTTCCGTGCAATTCGATCATTCGTTTCGATGGTAAATTGTTACTGGCCCAGAGGACCGCTCGCTAACACTTTGTTTATAAATCCTCGGGAGAGAGGCATTCGACAGTTTTGCCAACGAGTGGTTGCCGGTTTTGCATGTTTTATGAATGGAGCTAGTGCCGGTTGTTTTCGTCAGTCATAGAAAATGATCTGTGGAGGAATAGATTTTTGTTTTCAGAAAATTCTAACCTTGCTTTTTTGTTGAACCGGTTATATTGTATTTGATATTTTAGGTTGCTGAAATTGTTATCATTGTTATTATAAATGGTTGTGTTTCGAAATGTATTTTATTGAGTTTACATCAGAAGAAAATTAATCTAAAAGATTTTATAATTTGTTGCACGTGTTCGTCTCATCATTTTGGTTATTTTATGAGCACTTTTTTCTGCTTCTGCGCACTACTTCACTCGAGATAATTGGTTGATTTTACAGTGAAGTGCAGTTACTACATACCTTTCATTCTCCCGTTATAAGTTCAAGTTTTCAAAAAAAAAA